TGTTAATTAGAGACTCATTAAATATTGAGTTGGGTTTTTCAGATGTTTCTGGTCAGTAGCTTCCAGAAATTCTCACCACTGGTTGGGATAATGGGAGTTGCAGCCCAACAATATCTGGAGATCCACCCATTTGGATAGTAGAAGCAGTGGGACGCCCAGTGTGTGCCCAGGACCTCGTCAAATTGAATGTGAAATTTCTGGCAGCTGCTGCAGTCGATAATGGTGAAATGTCAGCAATGGGTCTGAGCCATCGGTTCCAAGTCTGATGATGGCAAGGATATATGGGAGCAATTGGTTTCCTGCTACTTTCTCTCTAAATAGCTCCAGGTAACTTCACTGCCAGCCACTCTGCTCTGTCCAACGGTTCAGATGAGATAGCAGGATGTTTTGACTCCTTATTCAATAAGCTCATCCTTCAAAAACTTGGGGAAGTTACTTTTTGGAACTACAAGAACCTTCCAGCTATTGTGTCCTGCTGGTTGGGGAATTCTAGGAGTTGTCATTCAGAATGATAACTTCTCTAATCTTACATTCAATGTAGAGCCATAAGTGTCAAGTATTGAGAGAAGTAAGTGACTGGAGTATTTTTACTTGAATTTTTAAAACTGGTTTGTTAGTTGTTAGTTTAATTCCTCTTGGATCACTGCCCATTCCAAGAAGTTTTATGAGGATGTACACATACACACACATGTTGTTAAATATTGTGTTTGCATGTTTATTGATTTTATTGGAATGCACTCTGGTGTAGAGTGCAACAACAGCAACAACTGAAATTTTATCTGTTAGCAAACATTATCTGAGGAGGAGAAGGTTGATTGTAGGTGTGTGACTCACACAGGCTTGGTTTTCGATATGTTTTGTTCCTCCAGCTCCATGTTTTCTGGGCAGGGCCTCTGGCAGGTGGCATCCTAGCCTTCCCGATCTACAATATCATTCTTGCTACTGATACGAAAAGCCTCACTGAGAGGGTTACTGTTCTGAAAGGGGCCTACTATCCTGAAGATGACTGTGTAGAGAAGAATGATCAGAAGTACTCAGTGGAACTAGGGGAGAAATTCTAGTGATGAACAGATAGTTTTATAGTAAGCAATGATGAACTGTTCCACATCATAACCTTCCAGAGTGATGAAAGACCAAACCCCAAAATGTGTCTGAAGCATCATCTTTCAGTCCCCACCCTTCTCCTCCTCCATGTTCCCTACTACCTTCATATTTTTCGTATTGGTATGAAAACATGAAGCCAACCAAGCTGATGGGTACCTTGTGGTGATGGGGAAGAAAAAGGAGTCACCCTGTGAGGTGTAGGTAGCACAAAGAGACGGGCTTGTTGGGGTTTTTTTCGAGTGTATCCAAGATGTAGATGATTTGCAGGCACAGGCTGGAGGTGGGGAGACACATACTAAGGACTGCACTGGAATTTCTTCTTTGGTTTCATAGGTTTTTAGCCTCCCAGGTGAGATGGTGCAGGCTGTGGGTAGGCATATGTGACCTAGGACGGAAGTATGAAACACAAGTGGGAAAACTTTGCCCCTCCAGATGATGTTAGACTAAAACTGGGCCATCATCATGAACACTGGCCATCCAGGGTGAGCCTGATGAAAATGGGAGTCCGACCACCTTTGGAGGATCACATGGTCTCAATAAAGTCTCTTGAGGAGTCACTTTGTGGTGAACTGCCCAGATGTTAGGCTAAAATTGGGCCATCATCCTGGCCATCCAGGGTGGGCCTGGTGAAAATGGGAATCCAACCACCTTTGCAGGATCACATGGTCTCCATAAAGTCTCCTGAGGAGTCACTTTGTGGTGAACTGCCCACTTGCACCTGTATTCTTTCTATCCTCCTCTCTGCCCTGGACTTGGATATAGGACAGGCAAGGGCAAGGAGCAGCCTGTGGGTCACATGCAGTTCCCACCCAGAGGCCCACATGTGATCCCACATCACTCCAGGACCCCATCTGACGCTTCCAAATTTTGCACACCTTCAAGAAATGGCCACTACAGAGTGTGTTGGAGCTTTTTCAATTAATTTTTGATTTTGAACAAATTATTTTTGTTTAAAATCCAAGGGGTTGGCGTGTATCATTCTTACGTTGCCTTCTCCTGGTTGCAGATGTCAGACAACACTTTCTTTGCCTTCCTGGCTTTCCTCAGCACGTATTCATTGAGCTGTGCATTTCCTTTGCCAGCCCTAAACTTACCTTGACGGCACCTCCAGTTATCACCTGGCACTGCCATCCCAACAATCCATTCGCCCCTCACAAACCTGCCCTGTATAGCCCTGTTGGTGGAGACTGTCCTCCCACTGGGGCCAGAGGCTCGTCTAGAATATCTATGTTCTTTACAATGCCTCACGTGCTACTCATGTTAAAGCAAATGCCAAATAATCGCAAACAATAAAATTTAAAACCAGCAGCATCAGATTCGTCATGGGGCAGGCATGTGAGATTGTGTCCTATCTGTGAGATCGCCAAATGCCAAGTACACATTTTGGCCTTAAAATGGCAGGTTTGCAACTCTGGAAGCCTCCACAGACAGCAATTAGCCATTTAAAGAGTGGGGTTCAGGGGAGGATACCCAGATACCCAGTGTGGTGTAGTGGACAGAGTAACAGACAATACCCTGATACCCAGTGAGGTGTAGTGGACAGAGTAACAGACTGGGATGTAGTAGGTGGCTTGGGTTCAAATCCCCAGGCAGCCATAGGGTTGTGTAACTGATAAAAACCACACCTTAAAATATCTCACTCATCTTGAAAGCCCTGTTAGGGGCGCTATAAGTTGCATCTGACTTGACGGCATTTAACAATGTTATTTTCTCTCCAAAAGAGCCCCCCCTTTTTTTCCCCAGAAAGCAAAGTTGGCCTTCCAGTTTTTGGGGAAAAAAAAAAGGATACAGCCTGCCAAACTCTGGGAATATGTAAAAAAACAGGCAGATTAGTCTCTCATCCGATTTCTGGCAGCTTCCTACCTCTCTCTGTAGTAGCCAAGGGCAAAGTGGGTGGCCTGTGACCAGATGCCCATCCCCCAGCACTCCCATCCAGCCAAAGTTTTTAATCTATAGTAGCCATGGGCAAAGTGGGTGGCCTGTGATCAGATGCCCGTCCACCAGCACTCCCATCCAGCCAAAGTTTTTAAAAATATTTTCCAAGCAAGAGACCCACTCATGTTATCTAGGGGAAGCATCAAACAATTCCAATCCCCTCTCCCTGCTAAGCTGGTCTAGGCTGGGTGTGGGGATGGTGCCATTTTTGAAACCTAAAGTTACTTAGAATAGCTCAGGAACAGCAAAAACAATTGTAAAATGGCTTACTGTATCCACTAGAAAGGTTAGAGGGGGAGTTTTTCAGTTAAAAAAACAGAAAAGTTTAAGAAAAACATTGGGGAGGGAATTGAATTGTCTTTCTAGGGTCCAGGGGTAGGTGGGTGAGACCCCTGACCTTTGGGGAATTCTTAGAAGCTTGTCCACCTGGAGCATATTCTGCAGAAGCTTTCCACTGGCACGAAGGGAATGGCTTCCTTCTCAGATCAGATCCTTCTTGGTTAAGAAGCATGAGGCCAATGGCTGGGCCTACTGCTCACTTTTTCTCCTCTCTCTGGGACAACTTTGAGGCAAAGCGGAAGTGAGGACAGCTTCCTGAGCACCTCTCCAAAGGATATGTGCAGAAAGCAGCCCCCCCCACTTCCTCTTCACATATAGAATCTGCTCACACGTAGAACCTCTAGGCAAGCAAGACTTTTCACCTCTCCAGACCTTTCCCTTGTGGCTCACATGATGGACAGGGTGGAGCTGGTCAGTCCTCTCCAGGCATATAGGCCCATCTAAAGGAGGCAATGGCTGAAGAGGGCTCAAACCATCCCAGAGTCTTTGCATTACAACAGAGATCTCTCATAATAATAGATCATCTTGGAACATGCATGTGCCGACCTCCTCTCTTGTATGAAGACTGAGGCTCAGTGAGAACAAGAGAGCAGGGGGTCGGTGGAGAGAGAGAGAAAATCTCCTAAACCTTGCTAAGCAGGAAGTTTTGTGCTCCGACTGAGAAAACCCTGCCTCTGCCATACTAGCATGGACACAGACCAGTATACAGAAGCTGATGGGTACCCCTGGATGCAAAACATTATACTACACAGGCCTTTTCCAACTGGGCCAACGGGTCTACCAACAAATGCATCTTTTCATTGGAACTGCCCCAGAATTAGAAAACTACAGGGAACACTCTGGAGGCAGGGGAGAGGGAGGGGAAGGGGAGAGCTGGTCAAGGAAAAGCACCTGTTCTTAAGCATCCTGTGGAAATGGTTGGTCATTTCAGTAGCACAAACTAAACCGTGAGGACAGCAGCCTGCGATTAATGGCTGCAATCAGGACACGGCTGTGGCTGTGGCACCATTCATACTGTCAATAGGGGCAAATGGAACTTCACTTCCCAGTGAAACCTGTCTCGGCAGGATGCTGATGTCAAAAGAAAAGAAAAATCTATAGAGCGGGGACAAGAGGTGAGGCTATAAAGTGGGACAGATCAAAGAATAAAGGCTAGTGTTTGGCCGGTTTCAAAAGCAAAACATGATGCTTTCCAGATTGGTGGTGATTGTATGGATTTCAGGAAGGTCTATCTTTGTATTTCAGAATTACACCGAATCTTATTGAAGTCTATCATTTATCTTGAGCCGATATTCTTTTGTAACAATACTGCCCTTATTAGATACTGGCAGTGTGAAGAACTCAAAGCAACAGTAGAGTCTATTAGAACAACAATCACCTTGGGGGTATGTGTGGAAGTCTTAACTCTGTTAAAGACTCAGAATGTTGATTTTAACCCTCCTGATAGAAATTACCCAAAATGTGTTTTGTGCTTGGTTTGCCTGTGAGAGAGGTGCTTCCCGATAGGCTAAATCTGTACGGGGTGGGTGGGTTGGGAAATAGCAGGAAAAGGGCGAAACCCCCTGCAAACCCAAAATCATATACAGAAAACCAATATCAAGTATAAAAATCTGCATTTGTTTTATTGGCTCATCTGGACTCGTGTGCATTAACTGTGGCCACTGAATTATTTAAGGCACAGACTTGATCACACATTACACATTGATCTTTCAAATGGCAGTTACCAAAATATCTCAGTGATTTCAGAACCCTACCCATGACAATTGCTACAGATGAGAGGGGTTTATTTCACCTCTAATTGTGCATTTTGTAGTATATGCTGAACCAAGGTAACACAGGGCAGCAAAGAATACGGGAGAAGGAGAATTAAAATGTCCTCAAGGGGGACACCTTGGTTGGTTAGGAGTCTAGCTAGTCTTCTCCAGAGCCATCCAGTGGCCTAAGTGTTGCCGTTCCTTTTTCCTACCAAGCCATGCTCTTGGACTTGATGACCTTGGAAAGGTGGCTGAAAGAGCAAATGCAAGGAAGCTCTGTTGGTGGGTAAATGCTCGTCTTTGTCCAAAGAGACTGTAGATATAGGCGTTTCTCAATTTCTTGGTCACTTTGTTTCTCCATGTGTGTTGGGAGAACAGATGGAGAAAGGTTAGCCTCACTTTCTGGCATCGCTTCCATGTACAGTAGAACCTGAAAAACTCAGTTTTTGAGACAACACTTCCCAGCAAGTGTAGAGACCCTCCTGCAGTTTTCACCTAAAACTAGAAATTTCCAGGGGGAAACTTTCATTATGCCCTTTGTTTCAGGCTCTTTTGAGGGAGAGGGGCTACTCTTTCATTGGTTGATTCTTTTCAAGTACCAGGTTTTTCAGGAAACCCAAAAGGGCCCAGACCTTTCATGTGCTTTTCTTTTGGGTTTCCCTGGATTTCTGGCTCTGGGCCTAATTAAGCCCTACAGGAACCTCGTAAAAAAAAAAACAGAAAACAAAGTTCCAAAATATCAGGGTCAAGACAATAGACGATCATCTACTCCTAAAGCAGGTGGCACAATAACAGTGTCTGAGAAACAAACATCAGCCTCAGATCCATGTAGCGGCTGCTTTACATCACATCACACCCTAGTCAGCATCACGAGAAAGAGAATCAGCATCAGATTCATCAGAGCTCATTGTCACCCTTCAGCAGACCTATGGCCTAAATCTGAACGAAAGACGAGAGTCCTCTTTGGCAGAATCCTTGTTTCAGAGGCTCTCTATTGTAAAGCCACAAAAGACTCAGAAGAAAAAGAAAGTGCCTCTTTGCTATTTTCCCCCATTTCGGTTAATCCAAAAGTCCCATTCCCCACTTAAACTTCCTGTCAGCCCCACCCAGTGTGACCCATGGCCGAGGACTATGGGGAGTCGTAGGCCAAAGGGTCTGCATCCCAGACCCACCAACTAGTCATTTAATTCTCTACATGGCATGGTAAGGTGACTGCAGTTCCACTGGAAAGAAGCTCCTCCTGGAAGCGTTTTGGAAATGGAGTGTAAAGAACACAGGTGAGAAAAGCCAGCCGGGTAGCAATTTAAAAAAAAAAATCACAATGCACAGTCACATCCAGGTGACCCTAATCCTGGTTTCATAGCAAGAAAGGGAAGGGGGCTAGTGTGTTTGGCAAAATATACGGTCTTGTATCCTGCACAGCAGGTGATTTATATTGTATGTGACATTGCGCTGTTGAAAATGATGGCCTCATCAGCTAAGGATCCTCATTAGCATCCCAGTTCCTCTTTATCAGAATTTCCCACTTAGTCTTGCGCTGGGTTTGTGTGGCAGAAGGCAGCCTTAATTCGGAAGAAAACCAATCTGTAGCATCATCACTTACTGTATAGCGGCAGTATCCACATTCAACTTGGCCCTGGTTTCCTCTCCCCCGTACAGTACATAACACATCTACATCCAGAGGCAGCATCTTTTGAGCACTGTTTGACTTCCAGGTATCACTCCTATGGCTTGTCATTCCTTTGGCTAAAACACCCTTTTGGACAGAGGCCGGCAGGCGATCCTTGTAGAGACGGCTGTCTTCGAAGAAAAGGTGGCTGGAGCCCTCTAATGGCCAGTGGTAGAATAAGCAACTCACAGGTTGAGTCTCTAGCTGAGCCCGTGCTCAAAGAACGGAAGGAGTCGTGACCGTGCTTTTCCCTGAACAGGAGGAGACTATAACCTATGTACAAGGCTGGGTAATGATACGGATTCTGTCTGCTGGCCCCCATCCTTCTCCAGCTCTTCCCCATCGTAGCTGCCCTTGAGAATCGCCAGTCGTTGTGCCAAGGTCTTGGGGTCATGGTAAAGAGCGAAGTTATAAAGGAAAGAGGCCAGGGTGGCCCCAGCCAAGGGACCAACCCAAAATATCTGCAAAGACAAAGAGGGATAGTTCATAGCAAGGGAAGACTAGAAGAGGGTGCAATGGGTTTAAAGAAAATGCAAAAGCCTGGAAAAGTTACTTCTTAGACTATGGGGCCCATAATCCTCAGTAATCACAGGCTTGGGGACTCTGGGATTTTCTCAGACTCCACTGAAAAGCAAAACCAAACATAGACCAGCAATTGAAAGAGAATTAACATAAATGAAAACAGCACCCTGACCCAGAGAAAATCAGTAAACTCTTGTTGAAATGTGTGTAGAATTTATATCTATTAGTTTGTCCTTTTAATTTCAGAGGGGTTTAAATGCAATGACCCTTTTCTGAACCAGGGCCAAACTCTAGCTCTCCTTTAAAATTTTCTATCACTGGAATATTCTGCAACTTGAATAAATTCACCATATCAAGGTGCTCCATGAAGAAAGTGCTCTAGAACTGATTGGCAGGATGAAGGAAGCCAAGTGGGTTGGCCGAGCCACCTGCCTCTTTGGTTTGATTCTCTCTGTCGAAAGAGAGGCTGAAACAGAGAAGGAGGAGCGGGACTGGGTTAAGGCTACGAGGAATCCTTGCTGACTCCCTCTTTTGCTGGAACAGGTGAAGAGACACCGTCAAAAAAAACCAATGTTAGGTATTTTCCCAGAACAATGGAGGCTTCCTTGCATCACAGCATTCCTGTTGCAGAAGAAAGAGTGACATCATACTGAACTGAGCTAATTGCAGGAAGGGCGGCATAAAAACATGGAAGTCAGTTTGTTGCTGGTAGTTTTTTTAAAAAAAAATTATTGCCTCATACAGCACCCTCTGGGAAGTTTACAACATAATTATGCAGACAACACTTCTTCTCCTGATCTCACTGGATCAGACGTCAGCAACTATGACTGAGAGAAACACGGTCCTTCCCATGCCTGCATTCCTCGGATCAGATGGAAGTAATGAACATGAAGATGAGAGAAACTGGGAGCTAATTTGAGCTTCAGACTATTGACAGCTCAACGTATAGGCTTCATTTTTCAATTCATCCCCTATGGTGTGGCCCTCCAGATGTCAGAATGCAACTCTCATGAGCTCTAGGCAGCATGGCTAGTAGTCCAGATATGAGACAAGATGTCATCCAGCAGCTTCTCAGAGGCGACGTATTCCTCACCCCTATCTTCCAGCAGACCGACCGTAGATTTTAAAGAGGATCAACCAAGACCAACCTAGATTCCTTTCCTCCAGCATCAGTGGCAGGCAGTGTGGTGACGTTCTTGCATAAAGGGTGGCGAGAGGAAATGAGCACACCTGTTCCCTGTGCTGTATCAGCCTCGTGGTCAAGGTTGTTTCCTTCCACAAAACCCTTGCTAATGAGCCTAGACTCTTAGGCTTCATCGACCAGAGAGGGCCAGGTTGAGAAGCCCGGCTTGTTGCTCTTGCATAAGTGAAAATTTCTGGAAAGGTACTTTATGGGCAATGCAGTTGCAAAGCCAAACTACACAAAGGAAACTACACTGCTTCACATGTTTAATTGACCTTTTTATACCCTTTCAGTTAATCTCAGGGAGCAGTTACAAGGGTTTCTCCTTATCTGGATAGGAACAGTTGATAAGCCATGAGACAATTACTTCAAAACAAACTCTTAACAATGAAGTCATGTGTTTGTTTCTAAATCTACTTTCCTCTCTTACCCATCACTTCCCCTTCCTATCTGCCTCTGTGACTCACCCTCTCTGGCACATTACCTTTTTTTAAAACCTGCCCACATGACTCTGAATGAAATCACCCCTCTCTGCTCCCACACTCTCTGGTGCCAGAGCACATCCATCCCCAGGGCTACCCAGCGAGGAAGGGCCCTATTGGATCTTGTCAAGGCCCTGTCACTTTGCCCGTGGTCAGAAACATTATGATGTCAATTTCAACCTGTGGTGTCTCTCCCAGGGTTTTCTAGGTATGATGTACCCAGAAATGTTTCACTAATCCGTCTTTTTGGTTGCATTCTGGGACTGTGCATCCTGTCCAAGCTTGTGCGGCAGGATCTGTAACCCCATCAGCCACACATGCTCCAGATTACCTTATCAGGCTCCTTCCTGAGAGGCCTAGTAGGGAACTGACCCCCTGCCCAAAGTTCCACAGCCGGGCAGTCCAAATCACTGAGCTGAGCCAGCTCCTGCACACAAACACACACACACCATTTTCCAGCTGTGACACCAAGTCTCACCTTCTCTGATATCAGAAGGGCTCCTTTTCTGGTTTCTGACTGAATCCTCAAGGAATGGGATCCTGACCTGACATAGTTTAGGTTTAAGAACAAGGTGTGTCATGTGTGTATGTATGGGGCCAGTCCTGTCTGTATGCAGCCAGAAAAGAAGTACAGTATTTGAAACTTTCCCCATCAGAAACAAGCACCAAACACCTTTTCAATCTGGCCTGCCAGCTGCTCCTGTCACGTTATCACAGCTGCCACACCCTCTGCAGCCCTCTTTTGCCTCTGGATTGGTCCTGGGCACAGGTAGCCCTCCATGGAAAGCTTGCCGTGAGCACACAGTGAGAGCCCTCGAGGTGCAGGCCTGCCAGGTGGAAATACTTCCTTCCATCCTGTGAAAATGCCAGCACCAGCCAAACTGGTCCCCTGGCAAGACAAACATTTCTAGCAATTAATCTCCACCATATGTCAAACTAGGAAAAGGGGCACCTCACCGTTACTAATATTACTGCTGCTGCTACTTCTACAATTTATACTGGTAATCCCAAGGTAAAACAAAATGCGAGCAATAAATCTCAGTCCTATGTCTACCTGGCTGCCTTATTGCTGTAGCTTATCCTCAGGTAAGAGAAAAATGCCAGCAATACATTTCATTCATATATCTGGAAGGATTTACCTGGGGAGGTAACTATTTCCTTGTTATTATTACTGCTAGTACTTCTTACCCCTAGGTAAGACAAAAACGTACTAGCAATCAGTTTCACCCATATATCTAATTAGAGAAATGATTCACTCATCCTTACTCCTGCTTCTCAGTAACAGTATTATCCTTTTGATGGTTATATATTTACCAGCATTTGTCCTGAGGTAATCCTGGGGAGTGGCTAGGTGATTCTTTAATCTTTAACCTCTCTCTTTCCCCCTCTTATCTTTCTTCCTCTTGGCTTTTGAACGATAAGGAAGGAAGGAACAGGACGAAGGTGCTTACCCAGTGGTGAGGAAATTGTCCGACTACGACTGCAGGCCCAAAAGACCGGGCTGGATTCATGGAGCAGCTGGTGAAGTAGCGCTAGGAGGAAGAAATCAGGAGATGCTGTGAAAGGAAACACTTCCCGCCTCACATCCCTCCCTGAGAGGAAGGCCCTGCACTACAGGGATCCCTGCAGCAGGATAACGGTGCGGGTACAAGTTCACAAAAAAAAGAAAAGTTTGGAATTGGATTTGGCATGCTTGAAATCAATTTTTAAAACTACAGGACACACCAGGAAGCCATGGACTTTTCTGCCTGGGAAGCATGGGGGGTTTGGTTTGGAAAGTAAGGTATTTTACTCAGCCATGAAAGGATTGTTTATTTTAAATTGCTTATGAAATCGATGTATTTTGAATCATTTTGACATATATGAATGCCTCTGTCTGTGTAAATTGTGTCTATGGGATTTGTCAAGTAATGGATTCTAGGATCACAGATTTCCGGCTGCGAGAACACTTTGCAAACCGATCAGAGAGAGAGAACGGTTGGGTGGAGGAAAGTGCTTCCTCCTTTACCAGCCTAGAAGCTGCCAATCTATCAATTGCTCTGGTCAATTTCTCTTTGCCCCTCACTGGCGTGCCTTCCCTCTGGCCAGCCCCAGCTATAGGTTCCCTCCCTCCCTTTCTCCAGCATCCACCCGTGTGTGTCTGAGTCTCTGTATGTGTCCCTGTGCATGCGTCGGGCCATGGGGAAACCTTGCCATCCAATCTGTTTAATTTTTTTCCTATCTATAGTATTTTTCTATCACTATCCCACTTTGAAATTAAAAATAAATATATGTTTTAAAAAACACCACGACAGCAATGGCAAGTGGCTGTGAGAGGCAGCCAGCATGTGAGCAGATGGGATGGGCAAAGTCTCAAATCCAGTTATTCTAAAAGCCCACATCGCCTCCCTCAACCAATACACAACACAGTTTAAAAAGAGATTAAAAATTTTCCCAAGAGCACACACATACCGATCCAAACACCTCATGACCACCATATAACTTTAAAGCAATTTCAAAAACCCTAATCCATCTCTTGATTCATTTTCATAGGGTAACTATGGCATAAACTGGAATGGCTTGGGAGGAAAACTAACATTTGTATAGCTCCTGAAATCCATGTCTGCTCCCAGTTCCTTTCTTGACTTACCCCAATTAACTGGCCCAGGGCAACTGAGACCCCGATAATAATAGCTGGAGAGCCACTGCTTCGGTGGCTGTCGGTGGAGGCAAAATAGCAGAGCACCAACTGGAGGGTTAAAATGAGTTCAACAGCTGTTGCTTGTCCGACCGAAACGTTGTTCTGAATCTGAGTGAGAAAAGAAAGAAGAGAAATTGGGGAAAGAGGTTTAAGACAGAGCAAAGGAACTAGATCCTTCTTTTTTTTAATCTTGCCTTTTACTGCTCTCATAAAGGTAAAGGTAAAGGTTCCCCTTGACAGTCAGTCGTGTACGACTCTAGGGGGCGGTGCTCATCCCTGTTCCCAAGCCATAGAACCAGCGTTTGTCTGAAGACAGTTTCCGTTGTCACGTGGCCAGCGTGACTTAGACCCAGAACGCTGTTTACCTTCCCACCGAGATGGTACCTATTTATCTACTCGCATTTACATGCTTTCGAACTGCTAGGTGGGCGAGGAGCTGGGACAAAGCGACAGGAGCTCACTTCAGTCACATGGATTCGATCTTACGACTGCTGGTCTTCTGACCCTGCAGCATACAAAGGCTTCTGCGGTTTAGCCCGCAGCGCCACCACGTCCTTTTTTACTGCTCTCATGCACTCCCCTAAAATATTGCAGAACATTCTAAGGAACTCATCAAGCTACTAATCCCACCATTTCAAAGGACAGAGGAGTCTTCCCCCCCCTCCCGTACAAGAAGCCAGATGCCTGGTATCAAGGAGATGCTTCTCTCCAATCTGGTATCTCATGGTATGTATTTTACATGACCATACATGACACAGCCATGTCATAGCACCAGCCCCCCCCAGAAGTCAGAAACTGGATCTTTTCTGCTTGTAGCACATGTAGGAAGACCATCCGAATGAGTAGCCTGTGTAGATTAGAGTGGCCACCCCTATACAGTAAGACCTCACTATCTGCTGGATCAACATCTGCAAATTCTCTTATCTGCTGCCTGAAAATAATAAATAAAAAACCACCAAAATGTGTATTTAACAGAACTAGCCACTAAAGAGAGGCAGAGACAATGTTATATGTAGCATTTGCTTTTTGTGCATTTTTTGGCATGGGGGTGGCTTGAAACCAATCCCACACAGATACCACAGTTCTACTGTATACTCTACAGCCAGGAAAGCCCTTATTTCCCCTGCTTCTAGGGTATGAGGCCACAAGATGGCCGGCTTCTGCACGATCATGCAGAAGATCATGTGATACCAGATCTGGGGGAAAGAAGCCTCCAATCAGGCCCCTGTGCTAGAATGAGAGTCTGAGTCCTATGAGCATGTACTACATATGGTAGTATACATACAGTTACTATACAGTATGTAACTGATGGATAGCTCAGTGGTTTAGATCTCTGGCTGTGGAGCCAGAGGTTGGGAGTACGATTTCTCACTGTGCTTCCTTGACAGGGCCTGAACTCGATGATTCATAGGATTCCTTCCAGCTCTGCAGTTCTAAGATGATGATGATGGTGATGGTAACTGAGAAAAATATGGGAGGGAGAATGGGGAGTTTTGAAATGGAAGGGGGGGGGAAAGGAAAACTATGAAAGAAGGAAAGGGGAAGAGAAAATTAGAACAAATTAATAAACTAAGAGACTGAGAGGAATGAGAGAAGGATACAAAAACAGATGAATCAGGAAAGAAAAATACTATCTTTTCTTAGAGGATAGTTGAGGACAGATTCCTTATAAAGTGGACCCTCGACTTACAGACGGCTCCACTTACAGACTTTTTGAGTTACAGACTTCTCTGGCTGCAAAATTTAGGTTCGACTTGCAGCCGGAGAATCGACCTACAGACCGGAAAAAACCCCGAAATGGAACAAAAACAGCCGATTACGGATTACAGTAATCGGTTTTCAATGCATTGTAGGTCAATGGAGCCTCGACCTACAGACTTTTCAACCCGCAGCCACTGTTGCAATACGGATTAATTCTGTAAGTCGAGGGTCCACTGTATAACTGGGGAGCTGAGAATCCACTTCCCTGGTGATAACTGGGAGTTCTGGATGGTACATTGAGGGATAAAATATTCTGAAGCTGTCACATAATAGAAGCTGCTCACAAGAGGATTGATTGGTATTGTTGTCATTTATCTTACTTTTGGATGTAGTAAAGCAAAGGAAAGAGCAAATCATGCTGCTTATATTCTACCCCATAGTGTTAAAAACACTCTCTGAACAGTTTGCAATTTGATTATGCAGGCTACACATTGCCTCCCCACCTCCCCCCAACACCCCCAATGAGCTGAGTACTCAGTTTGCCAACTTCAGAAGGATGGAACGCTGAGTCAACCTTGAGCTGGCTACCAGAATCCACTGGGATCGAACTCAGGTTGTGAGCAGTCTTCACTGCAGTGCTACAGTTTATCTGCTGTGTCACAACCAGCAGCTCCTAAGCAGAGGCTAGATAGCCATCTATTTGGAGATGTTGCAGTCGTGGACTGCCTGAATTATTGGCAGTGGGTTGCACTAATGAACTTTGAGATGTTTTCTGACTTTCTGATCCTAAGTGCAATGAGGCAGGTCGAACAAAAAGATTTGATTTTCATTTTACGTGAAAAATTACAGAAATAATTGTCCAAGAAGTAGTGAGAAGTCTTTCAGAAGTCAGGCATCCTACCATAAGGAAAACAAGATTCTGAATTGGGAAACAAGGGAATGTTCTCCTCTTCCCCTCTATCTGCTGACAATTAGGGGAAAATCTGGGACACTAATCCTACAGCTGGAGAGGTTGAAAACAAGACATCTAAGAGAGCGAATACATTGAAAAATAATGCGGGAAATGACCCAGGATTGGAACGGTCAGACTCACATTATTTCCCATTGACTACATGATCTCCAAGTCAAAGTGAATCAGCCTGGAATTTCCCTCCCTCCCTCTCCCTCTCCCTCTCTCTCTCTCTCTCTCACACACACACACACACACACACACACACACACACACACACACACACACACACACACACACACACACACACACGGTAATGGAGTGATTTGTAGCTGTTCTGTCTGAAGCCATTTCACCCAGCTGCAGCAACAGTGAGAAAGATGGGGCAGGGAAACTTACTGTCTTTTGAATTTCCTTCTCCCCACACCTGGATCTGTTTGTTTCCCCCTTCCCTTCCCTTCCCTGACTGAAAACTTCTTCTTTCTTCTTTCTTTTTCTTCTTTTAAAGGCTTGCTGCCCTAGTGCTAGGATAATGGTAGGTGAACAAAGCCAGCAGGGGAGGGGGTACAGAGAGAGAGGAGGAAGTTTTTACTCAACCTTCTTTCAAACTTGCTAAAAGAATTTTGCTTTGGCCATCCAGAGGTGCAAATAAGGCTGACCGAAAACTCTCTCCTCGCTTTCTGTTGATACCACACTCTTTCTCTTTCTCTCTTTGGTCACTTAGAAGTCCTAATATTAGGGCATTAAATTTTGAAAGAAAGAAGAGAAGAGAAGAGAAGAGAAGAGAAGAGAAGAGAAGAGAAGAGAAGAGAAGAGAAGAGAAGAGAAGAGGATTCAAACATTTAACAAGCTGCAAACAAGACTGAGACACAGTTTCCTCCCCACTTTCTGCTGACTCCTGTGTTGCTGGTTGAAGCAAATTAACCAGGATAACTGAAGTTGCAGGTGTGCCTTCACAGTTGATCTATTTGCATCTCCCCACTTTGTAGTCATACCCTAAATCAGCTACATCTGGTGGACTGTCAGATCAGACAGCTGTTCTGAAACCAGTTTCCAAATAACACAGCACCACTGAACAATTTGCATTGAAATGGCCAACACTGTTGTAAGTGCAGGGTATGTTTCAAGTTGCTTCATACAGCAACATTGTTTCCAAAGATTACTCAACTGCCTCCCATTCCAAAAGAATGTGGAAGTATTTGCAGGGCAGTTTACAACTATTTACACAAATGAGACAATCTGAAAGCATTTGGAACAACCCTATCAAAGCGAAAGCACTAAAACACTCCAGCAGCCAAAACTGGGTGCCATCCAAACGCCACAGATTTTTTTTTCTATACAAAAAGCAAGATACAATTGTTGTAAGCCATCCAGAGACCTTCGGGTAGTGTGGGAGGCATACAAGTTAAATAAATAATACAAGCAATATACAAGTCCAATAAAAAGCAATATACAAATCCAATAAAAAGCAGTATACAAGTCCAATAAAAATGCTGACCAAATTGGTCACCTGCTCCTGCATGCTTATGGAGACACTAAGAAATGGATTTTGAATGCAAACTGCAAGTATAGTTGTGATTAGATTAGCATTCCTCTTCCCCCCCCCTGCCCTCCGTAACATTGAAAATTAGCACACATGACTTTTGGACATTACATATTTGATTCCAAAGTCCTGCAGTCCTTCAGAGAGAGTGACAGAGACAGTCTTGTCATGACACTGACTGAAGTTGGGAGAGGGCCCTGTGGATCACACCAGAACAGGCAAAAAATATCCAGTGGTCAAAAACATTAGAAAATCTGGTACTGTGGACCCTCTTCCAATCCAAAATGAGGACTAATAGTCAAGTTCTTCTGTCCCTCTTCTAAAGATCTGATGTGGAGTCTATCAGTTGGTCTTATGTGGATATCTTGTGGTGCCCCGCAAGACGATGTTAATCTGTTCCATTGAAATCGCTGTCTTGTGAAAAAATTGTCTTGCGAAAAGCGTTTTCCCATTGGAATGCATTGAAATCCGTTTAATATGTTCCAATGGGGACAAATCGTAGGGAAGCCATTTTGCGAAGCACCAATCAGCTGTGGCTATATCCACTCATGGAAAAGGCTTCAGGAGTTAACCTTGAGGCAAAATCTGGAGCTGGAGTCCCGAAGGCAGCATGTGTCGTTCTGCCAACTCCTGCGACATTGCTGGAACCAGTTGTATTGGCTCTTGCCTTTCCATGGGACCATTTCAGCAATGTGGAGAGGGGGGAATCTGCTGCTTGGGTAACAGCCTATCCTCCATATTACCTTATCCAGGCTTTATCCTCTGGAGAGGACACTCCTCGATTCAGAGCATGTTACCATAGTCTCTTGAGACTGAAGGATGCCTATGCGCAATCAGCTGTTAAAATCGCTGTCTTGTGAAGCATCGGTCCCCAAAACACCCATTTTGCGAAGCGCCGATCAGCTGTTAAAATCG